AATTCTTTCTTTGCTCCTTGTCCCAGACGATTTGGGTCTTTCAATAATTTTTTATCTTGATTCGTCTTTTTATCTCCCATTGACAACTTCCCACTATGAATTGATCACCCTTGATTTCGTCCCCTGCCAGTTTGTCCAGTGATTGAGATTAGCTTGATCTAAGGGACCCAACTGTATAGGATACATAAGAACCCTCCTTACCTTTTAATTTTTTTCCCATTTTTCCCCCCTTTTTTTACCTCCATTTTACTTACCTGAGGACGGTAGCAGAACCAGCTTCCGAAACGTCGTGATTCAACTGACTGGGACGATGGATACAGTCCAGAATTTTAGTTTTAATATCTATTCTCCATCGTCAGGATCCTTTAGCTCTTATTGTGGTTCTGTTGTTTGAAGAACAGGACTCACAGTGTTGTCCAGCTGTTTGGACCACACTGTGTTGTTGTACTGACATTGTAATAACAGTTTCTGTATGTATTGATAGTTACGAATGAAATTGTAATAGTAGTTTCCACATGTATTAATATATCCTTCTGAAGATGGTTGCTCTGGCTGGAACATGTAAAGGATAAAAGATTAAAAAAAGAAAAAACATTTATCAATCACACTGGATGGCATTAATAATCTTTTATACTATTAATAGTGTGACAGACCAGGATGAACCAAGTCAAATTTACTTAGAAGCAACTTCAGGTAAGCAAGCAAAAGTGTTAACGAGACCTACTGGTAAAGGACAGTGGTTCCCACCCTCTTTAGATTCAAGGACCAGTAACAATGTCTCATACTGTACAGTGCTAATATAAATATTATTAGTGTGCCCAAATTGTTTACTTAAGAGAAGTAACTGTAACTCTATCATCAGTTCAAGAGAGGTAATAACAGTCCATACTGTCACACTGAGGATTCAAATGTATGACCTTCACATTAAAATACTAAGTTAACTATGTGTAACTTACTTTGAATTCAAACTGTCAATCCAGTCCTTCAGATCAAGACCAAATCGTCTTGCATTGACCAGAGCTTTCCTTTGTAAGGCACTTCTGTCTACTTTGTTGTCCAGTAGTTTGTCCCAAACTGCTGCATCATGGATTGGATATGGTTGTCCAGGACCACTATGCAGGAATCTAAGAATACATATTACTGTTTTTAAGTTCTAAGGTTTTCATGATGGTGAATGTTCAGATTGAATTCTCAGTTTTGACACAGTCCAGCCTCATAAGTGGATGCTGACTTTTTGGAGGAAAGTCCTGACTCCATCTTCGGGACTGAAGTATGCACGGGGAAGAACTGGTCAGGTTATAAAGGTAGGGAAGATGGCTACTCAGAACCACAGGAGGGAAGAGGAGATTGTGGTAAGGGGGAGAGGAAATAAACAACACTGGGCCACTTTCCTGTTCATGATTCCTACTGGCCCAGGATGGGCTCCATCTCTTTTCTCTTGCCGATGGGTCTGGATGACCACCTTTCTTCCTGCCTATACAACCCAAAAGATTCCTCACCCTACACTATTCAACCTTGATGATGGAGGCAGTATGCACCTCTGAAATATCAGTAGCCTCCTACATGGTGTCACACCACAGAAGCCCACAATATGAATATTACTGTTTAATTTTTCTCTTCAGCCAAGTATGAAATTAGCATGCAACATGTTTGTGTATGCTTTCTATGAATGTTTTCTAATTTTGGTGGTATAATGGTACTTCATGTATATGGCTGGTTTGACAGAAGTTCACATGAAGATCTACATTACAGTGTAACCCATAATTTGGAATTCTATACATCAGGTGGGTGGACTGGATCATTAGCTGTCTAACATGATTGTAAAAAGTCATAAGTATGGCACACACAGATTCCACACTTGCCCAGACAAGACTGAATGCAGTGGTGCTTTACAGGAGTAAAGAGCTGTCAACTGGCAGGAATCGCTGCAAGATGTTGTGTACAGAAACGTATGTTTTCATAAAGGTGTACACAGTTCCTTGAATAGTGAGATGTGGAGGTTAAGACACAACCAATTCTGCCACTGTGCACACAGCATGCATCAACAGAAATGCATGTATTATGGATACTGCAGTAGATATGGAGCAGCATGTGCCAATGTTCATGACTAGGGCCCGGATTTTTATGACCTAAAAACTATAAATATATGCATGCACTTATGACCCAAAATTATGTCAAATATGACCTAAAAAGTGTAAAATATGACCTTAAATATTAAATGGGACATAAAATTTCACAATTTTAATTAAAGATAAGAATAAAATAAAGAATAAAGATGATGAATATATGATAGTAGGTCCTACTTACCAAATTAGCCCTATTATGTCTCTGAAGGAAAGAAAACTGATGGAATTTCGACATTTCGTACTGGATTAAACCAGTCATTGCTTTCTTTTTAATACTGATATTTGCGTTCATATTTTAGACAAACACTGGTGCACATGGTATGAACACTAACTTAACTCTGTTATCTAAAAACACCATTTAAAAGAACACAAGCTATTCACGTCTCAATTTTCACTGAGTTATTCACGTCTCAATTTTCACTGTTACAATTGCAATTTATAACTACATGCATTTTCAAATTTTCAAATTTGAAAGATCGCCGATTATCACTAAGGATAGTTTTGTATTTGGAAAAACTTCGTTCCACATCACATGATGTGACAGGAGCATATTTGAAGAATGTCAAGTCGTTTGGTGACAGTTCTGTATCATCTTCGAATGTTGCTAGTTTACCGGAAAGTATATCTGCAATCTTGCATAATGTTGAATAACCAGCATTCCGATGAAGAACACTTTCTATTTTGGTTTTAATCCTGTCACTTATTTCACCACGAGTTCGGTTTAGTTCATTCTCAATGCTCTTTACAGTGTCCAACGCGTCACAGAGTTCAGTCCCTACAAATTCCAGGCGAGTTATTGCACCTGAAATTGAACAGAAGTTTGACTTTATGTATGCCAGATTTTGTGCTAGAGTGGTAGAGAATAAGTCCTTGACAGCTTTAATTGATGTTGACTCACTGCTGTCAAAGCCATTAAACATTTTCTCAATGGCTGTGTAATTTTCACAATAATATGCCACAGCATCCAACCATGTACCCCACCGTGTGACGACAGGCTGTGGAGGAAGTGGCAGTAGAGGAGCTTCTTGTTTAAATTTCTGCACTCGAAGAGGGGCCTTGATGAATATTTTCTTTCCGTTTGAAACTAGCCTATCTACATCAGGAAAATGTCCTCGAACTTCTTCAGCCACTCTATGCAATGCATGAGCGAGGCAAGTAATATGGACCATTTTCGGGTAGAGGATTCGAAGTCCTTTGGCAGCCTTCTTCATGTATGGAGCGGCATCTGTTACTAGGAGAAGGACATTATTTCGCTGTATTCCATTTGGCCACAACAACTTCATGGAATTATCAAATAGGACAGCTATAGTCGAATGATTTGCTCTTTCGAGAACTTCACAGTCAAGAAGAAATCTCTCTCCAGGTTGATCTTGTTTCAGGGTCCCAACTATAACATTCGCAATATACCGCCCATCTACGTCAGAAGTCTCGTCCAAGGAAACCCATATCTTGTTGTCAGCAACAGATGTTCGAATCTTATTTAACATATCTTCATAACATGTAGAGAGATAATTCTTTCTTAACGTCGATTCACTTGGGATAGGATGACTAGTGTATGTCTCCAAAAATTGTCTGAAGTGCTGATTATGCAATTTCTCTAATGGAATATTCGAAGATACCATCCACTGACACAAATCCTTCGAAAATTCCGACCCATTGTTCATTGAAGAAGGTGAAGCAGAAGAAGAAGAAGAAGAAGAAGAAGTAGTAGAACTGTTTTTAAACAACAAACTTTGTCTGCTATCCTTTGTAGATAATCTGCTTAAACATTTACCATGTTTAAAAGTTTTACAATGCTGCTGCACAGTAAATCGCTTTTCTGCCGTAACTTTCACGCCACACAACTTACAATAAAATATCTTGCCATCGGTACTAAACACTTTTTCACCAAACTCCTGTACAAAACTACGCAACTTTGCGCTCCTTGAACTACATGTACTCACTTTAGGCATTGTAAAGTCAAACTGAAGTCTTATAACGCCCTCCACATATATAAATAGAATACTTCTAAGCCCTCCAAGAAAGAATGGGATGTATATACCTTATAGTAAGACGGAGTACAATAGGAGAATACCCGTTACACTTGCCTCCCTCCTGCCTCGACTGGGAAAGGCCGGCTTGCCAGGTCATAAATGCTGCATTTCACAAATTTTCGCCTTTGTAACTGCAAGTACAGTCCAGTCAAAAATATGGTTTTTAATACGAACTTCATGTACTTGAACTCTATTCCACATTGAAGCAACAGTCCAGCCTGAAATTTATTTTGTAATACTAAACATTATGGAGCCGAAATTTTACATTATATCAAAGAATTGTTTCTAAAATGACAAAAATATGACCTTATTTCAAAATTATGCCAAAATATGCTGTAAAACCAATAAAACTCTAAAATATGCATTTATATGCACAATAAAAACGACATAATTTCAATAAGAATGACTGGAAACATGCATAATTACATTTATAAATAGGAATAAACCCTAGGAAAAAAATATGACATGTCATAGAAATCCGGGCCCTATTCATGACTCTGGAAACCACAAGCTACGAGTATGTCATCCATGGGATCTGTAGAACTAGAATTTGCAGATGGCATAATTAATCCATGAACCAGCAGGTGCCCAGTGACCAGAAAACAGAACCAAGTTTGCATGAACAAATCCTGCAAAATGAACAACACTGAAATTATTTTGGGGGGGGGGGNGAAGACCAGTGATGTTAAACACAACTGTGCACCATAACTGAGCAACTGGTATAGTGAAAACATCCTCATACAGAAGAATTCATGGATCAACTGCCATGTATGTGCACAACAGTCGCCAAGGAACTGTTCAGGTTGGTGTTTTCTTGTCAGTCTGCAATAAAGCAATATACAGACAGCCAGCAGCTGACAGAGAAGTCCCTGTTATAAGAGTCTGAAACCTAGCAATATGTCTGTGAAAACAGAGCTGATGATGACAAAATACACTAGAGAGTCCATTATTGTGAACAATACAAGAGATACAACAAATTATAAAATGAGTGTTAACATCTGTAAGGTGTGTAATTATCTGTAAGTAAGGGTAATCAGTGACCAATAAATCCAGTTATTAATCTGAACCCTGTGTATAGATACCATCATGTGACATTACTGACAAGTCATAAATGCATCTAGTAAGACTGTATTAACACCTACAAGATTTAGCTCTTTGGAAACATGCCAATACTGTAAGTTTTTTAATACTTTCTTTATAAAGGGTCAATAAAAGGATGCTTTATATTAAATTGTGTATATGAACTGAAATGCTTAACACAGATAAATTATTCTGCTGATAATTTGCACTGTAGGCTTGGGTGAATGTGCTGCCACCAGTGCTAACTTCTTGAATTAATGTCTGACAAGATGGCATCAGGAGATCCCTAAAGAAGTGTTTTTCCAAGGCATGGGTGTTCAGTTCAAGGAAACATTCTTCTAACAAGATAGGGCTGAACATCATACAGGTAATAACATTCTGGATGTGCTCAGACAGCATTCTGGTGAACGTGTTATCTTGATTCCCTTCCCTGGACTTTTTGGTTATGGTCGGTTTTGGCCATCACATTTTCATGATCTCAACCCTTATGATTATGCTTTTTGGGGGAAGGGGGGGTAACGTGTAACACAGTGTGCACACAAACCCCCACAAATAAAAATCTCATAGAAATTTCATCTTTCCATGTATTTGTTTCTGTCCTCCATGAACTTATACTAGGAGTTTTAAAATTCAAGACAATTTTTTTTTCTTATTTTTAAAACTCTTAATTCATCCACTCTATTTGCCCTATATCACAACATGTTTTGGCCTCCATTGCCATCATCAGTTGAATTAAAATTGTTCGCATGAAACTGCTGCACTTTATATGGCTTCATAGCACTTTCTTTTAATAAATTAAGAGTTTTAAAAATAAAAAATAAAATTATGGATTTTAAAGCTTCTAGTATAAATTGTATGGAAGATGGAAACGAATAAGTAGAAAGAATACAGCGCAACAGGATGCTGAAATAAAACATTATAAATTTCATCTGTTGCCATCAGAAGAACTGCAGAGACTCTAAGCAGAATAGCTGCCATTTTTCAGTCCCGACTACAAATGGACTTAATGTCACTGGTTTACATATAGAACATGTTTTCCATTGACAGCTTATTTCCCCAAGTCTACTATGCCAATTAACAATAAAATTACTCCTGTACATCAAGTAGATAACAAATATATGTAGTTTAAATGAAACCATCTTTTTGCAATAAAGAACACCATGCTCACCCAGCCTGTTGTTGAGAAACATTGGTTCCTGACACAAATTGCAATGGGGTGACTAGGAACTGTGTGAAAGCCACAACTGCAGTATCATACACCATGTTCACGGTCCATACGCCTGGCAGCAGTGGCTCATGAAGCAATGGTTTTACAAAATTAATCTGCCAAACAATTATAACAGTAAGCAGTAAACAACATAAATAAGTAACAACATTCATATATTCATGTAAGATTTGAGGTTTTCACAGCGGTTACTATGAAGAATGTCGTCTTCTGGGATGTGGCACTGTGTAGGTATTTGCTCTCATGGTGATCTTGCCTTTCCCTTCCCCCCAAACACAACCCTATACCTGCTGACTCATCTTCCCACGTGGCCCCTCTCCATTCCCTTCCTGTTCTTATATAGCTCGGTGTCTTGACTGGCACTCAGTCTGCGGCCAACTGCTCATGCTGGTTCCTCGTTCACGGATTTGTCTACCCTGAAGATGGAGGTGATACCTTCCTCCAGAACGTAGGTTAACAAAATATTGTAATGTGTTTTAGTTACTGAATACGCTGTAGAGATTGTTAACTGGTTTATTCAACAACCTACAAGTAACGGCTACAATTAATTATCACACAGTTGCGGGGTTTCACACTTTATAACCCTAATCGCAATAATCTGTTTACAATGTTGCGGGGTTTCATGATTTATAACCCTATTCGCAAATCAATTCACTCTGTCTTCAGTAGTCTACACGTTTACAGTACGGGAGCTATGTAAGTGTCCCTGTATCACACACTCCCAATTAATTCTCAGTTATCACAAACTGTCACTGATTATCACACGTTTACTCGTTCACTGCAGAGTGGAGAACTGTCTTCGGGCGCTGATACACTTTAACTGACAACAACTCAACTCGGCGACTACCACATTTCAACTCCCTCATGCTTACTGCTCAGCCGGCTTTTATTCCGTTCGCTGTTGCCTGTTGCCCGCCTCAACAGCGTCATTGCGTGCCACGTCACAGTGTCTGCGTATAGCCTAGCAACGCTGTTACCTCACGCCATCTTATGACACCGCGCGTTGCGCGTTACGTCACCGTGGAGGGGGGGGATGACGGAGTGCTGACTCACCCGTCGCGTCACTGCTGGTGGGGGGGTTTCTCCGTTGCGCAACATGTCACAATATATATGCGGTGCCACATCCCTGAAGATGGCATTCTTCATATATTCATGTTTAATCAGGACTCCATAGTGCAAATAATAAACTGTTCAACCTTCAAAGATAAGATGTTGATGGGATCATGGGCTAAAAGTATGAAAAGGGAATGTTTCTTTAAAGTTAGAATAACAAAATAGTGTATATGGGATCCACTGGATTAATATTTTTTTAAAGCAACAAAGATTGAATATCAGTTAGTAAACTTGGCACAGTTTTGTCAGGGCACTTTTAGCAATCTTGATGCGCTGAGACAAGGTGATGAAAGATGGTTTCTCAAACATCTGACTGGGAGAGAGTTGCTGAAAAGTTCTTTAGTGGGTACATGTTTAAGAAAGAAGATTCTCACTACTTTATCTTTTATATATGACTATCCAGCAGTTGAGACAGGCGGTAATGGACAAGATTTAGCAGTCACACAAATAGGAATGGAGGTGGAAAAACGTTTTCTGTGCCTACTGTGTAGGTCTGAAGAGGTGAAATCCACTGGCTGTTCAAAGATAGTAGCTGAGTTCCTTCCAGATCAGTATGGAGGCAAAGAAGTGAAACCAGGCTTTGCTAAGCCCCTCTCCATCCTCACAGTTGGGGTTATGAGAGTGTTTTATTTCAATGGCTTCCCTGACGATGCAGGGGCAATGGGAGCAGACATTATCTATAACTTATGTTCTGTCAGAGTTGATGTGTTTCATCTCTGTGGAATGTTTGGCTGCTAGTAATCACTGGCTCTCTAGTCTGTTCAGAACAGTGATGTGGCAACCTGTCTGGCCACATAAACATGAGATTTTGTATATGCCTAATTTTTACATCAGGGACTGTCTGCCCTTGATGGATCTGAAACATGATGCTGCTCTGTTAAATGGTTTCTTGACTCTATGGATTCCTTTTTTTTTCAGCAGCCTGAAGATATGGTCAGCTGTACTCTGAACACATGGCATATATGCTGTGTGATCTATCTCTATTTTCTCAGTAATGGACTGCAAAATGCGAAGAAGAGCCTGTAGTATTCCATACAATAATTAGACAACTGTAAGCAGTTTAATGCTCAAGAAACTTCTCTCTGCATTTGTGATATGAACAGAATATTGAACCCAGAAGCATTCATAACTTCATAACACCACACACACATGTACCAGAGAATGGGCAGATAAGGTACACAGATAATGTAATCCTGACTTTCTATAGCTGTAAGTAAAGCTGCCAGTAAGAAGTACACTTTCATATTACCATGTTTACTGGAAGAAGTTTCCTATAATAAGCTTTCCATTTTATCATTACTGAGTTGATGTATTTATTCTTACCGCTTGTCCATCCTCCATATGTACTTCAGACATTTCAGTCAGCTGACCAGCTGGATCCACCCATAAAAATGTGACATTATATGTTGATGGTTGAGGGCTAACATCTAACTGGTACACCAGAATGGGTTCTGAAAACGGTCCCAGATTATGCAGGAAATTACGGGACATCTGTTCTTTTTGATCATAATCTGAACTAACCAGAAGAGACTGAAAAACAGATAATAAATTAATCATAAGGTGACATTCATCTCACAAAAACGTTAGGCTTTTTCTTTAATTAAGTACCTGAATGCTAGCCTCATACTGCTTAACAGTCAACATCAAATTAAACCATATGCTTTTGATCGAAATACTGAATCACTCATAAGATTTAAAAATTATGCATAATTATGGTAGAGGTATGGCCCCACACATTCTTAATCATCACACTAGATGGAACTTGTGCTTAAGATTAGCTCCATCTAATGGACCAAACTGAGTAGGTGCTGCCCACCCTTTCACCTGAGGAAAACAGAAACAGATCCATGCCTGAAATATTGCATTCTTTAACAAGGGAGAGCCAGTAAATAGGTTAAAAATGGAAGTAAAACAGCTGTGATGATGTAACAGGTTTTCTATGTGTATCACTAAGTAGCAGCACAGTCCAGATTCATGAGTCTAGGTAGCAGACGCACATACACACGTTCAGAGGTTGGTTTCAGTAGTCAAAACAGCAACTGTGCTTGAGGAATACATTACTGAAGAGCAGCGTTCTGCTGTGCATTTTTTTGTGGTTAAAAGGACTCAATGCAAAGGATATTCATAAAGAAGTGTTTCCTGTTTGTCATGAAAAGCAGTTCACAACTGGGTCAAGAAATTCCCTCGTGGACATGCGAAAATCACAGATGATGTGTGACCACGTTGAGAGTGTGACAGAAGCAACCATGCAGCGGGTAGAAGAGTTGATTTGAGCTGACAGGAGGATTAGGGCGTTCCCATGGTTTATCACACAGCATAATGCATCATCGTTTGAAGTTTTGGAAAGTGTGCGCATGGTGGGTGTTCAGAGAACCAAAGGATCAGGAAAAAATTAATCGAATGGGTCTGCCCTTCCAACATCTCTCATGGTATGCAGATGAAAGAGAAGATATGGGGACGAATCATGGGCACATTGCTACCAACCCGAATCAAAGTGCGCTTCAATGCAATGGAAACATCCCAGTTCACCTTCAACCAAAAAGTTTAAGATTATACCATCAGCTGGGAAGGTTATGCTTACGGTGTTTTGGGATTCTCATGGAGTACTGTTAACCCATTTTCAGAAGCGTGGTGAAAATGTGAATTCTGCATTGTACTGTGAAGTTCTGTTGAAGCTTAGGGATGCAATTCACAGAAAATGTCCAGGCCAACTGGCAAGAGGGGTACTGCTTCATCACAACAATGCAAACTGAGCAACCCATGAAAGAATTAAAGAACTATAGTGGAAACTTCTTGAACATCTGCCTTATAGCCCAGATTTGTCCCCTACTGACTTCCATGTGTTTGGCCTGCTAAAAATTCACCTTAGTGGCAAACGTTTCACTCATTATGAAGAGGATGAGACAGAGGTGCAGAAGTGGTTGAGACAATAGTCAAAAGACTTCTATGCTGTGTTTTGATGCACACTATTAAAGCGATGGGACAAGTTTATCAATGTTGGTGGAGGATATGTCAAGAAATAAATGTTTTTTCCAAGTTCGAATATCACATGTTTTACATTTATATCCATCTGTAACCTATTTACTGACTCTTCCTTGTAGACAAAGTCCATAAACTCAGTAATCCCAAACTCTGCAAACGTCAAGAGGTTCACTCTTATGCTACCATCACATATGTATTTATAATTATTTAACAAATGTTATTTCACCACAGGCCAGGCATGATAATTTTTATTCATTCCAAGAAAGAATGAAATTTTACTACGAATGTTTGCCTTCATAACTGATTACAAGGTTGCCTCAGCAGCACCCATGGAATGACACAGCTAGTTCCCAAGTTGACAACACAGAATTCACTAGTAAAAGGAAGAAATCATTTGCGATGTCACGCAGATGAGATATTACTGATTACAAATGAAGTTTATCAGATTCAGACAAAGACTGTAAATATTCTGCGGACAATGATATGCTACCTGCCATGTTACAGAACGATGATAGTAATGCAGTGTAGAGAAGTGAAGAGTACTTTTTTCTGGGATGTGATGCTTTGTGTTCCACAGAAGTTCACCAATGTTTTGGAGGAACAATGGTAAACTTTTACCAGAACAAACGGTGTCACATTCTAGATGACAGTCTTCATCATAGTCATCACTATGAGAACCTTGGAATTCAACATGGACTGTGGTGTTAGTGACTGAGATTTAAAATGAAAAGGTTATGTCAAATTATACAGGACAGAGGGCAGCCACTGCTGGTAAACCTGGGCTAGACGGTAAACCTAATTGACAAAAATGATGTATGCAAACTTCTAAAATATACTTCAATGAAGAATTTGTGGAATATAGGATAACCAAAATCAACCATTATGTAGGAAAACTCATAAAACTACAGAGAGGGGGCACTGTGCAAAAAGAAATACATCTTAAATGTGGGCTTGGGATCTGGTAGCAGTATGTTGAATTTGTAATGTTTATGCTAATGGTATTATTGGAATCTGTTTCAAGCACTTTAAGCACTTCCACATCAAGCTGAATTCCTGAAGTAACTGAAAGTACATTCTCACACTCTGCAGGTATTATACAAAATGTCTATTAAATTTTAACATAATCTGATTAAACTGTAAAAGTTATATTAATCTGAGCAAAAGCATACATTTTTTATTAATTTATGGGCCTATCGCCTGTGTCCTCAGGTTACTTAAACTGAGTAAATTTTTCAACAAAAAGGAATTAACCTCCACAAATTTTAACTGCTTTACGCATTATGTTCATTTTGTATAAGACATCATGAGCATTTTGCATTCAAGCTTTATGTTGAACAGTAAAGTAAATAAGCTGCATATTTAATGGTGATCAACTATTTTTCATTTGTCCTATGTTATATATACAGTGATATCCTTTTCTAATAAATTGCTGGGGCGAATGGTTTTTCTTTCATTAAAATGAGGTTATCTGGATATGGGGGTTATGCAAAATTACATCTAAGAAACTGTCCAACTCCATACTTAAATTACTGTAATTATAGAAGTATTTTATATGTAAATAATTAAAGAAATTGTTTATTCACAAATGAATACAATGACATAAACACTGAAAGAACCTCGGTCAAAAGCCAATGCAACCATGATGTTGCACGCACCATGTTTTGGTATGTGTTCATTTGTCAAATATTATGGTTACAAATTTCCAGCAAAAGGAAAACGTGACACTTGACGGCAGATATGAGTTCTGGAAGGTTTGAAATTTTTTTACACTAAATGCAGGTTACCCACAAAATCAAAATCACTAAGTATGGGAAAATAATGCACTGTTTACATTGGGGTTTATTTGAAACCAGAAAAAAAATCTATAAATATGGAATTTCACTAAGTGTGGGGACATTATATCAGGATTCCACTGTGTGTTCGTTTGTCTATATATACTTTATAATGTATGATGACTGTACATAAGCTGCAAGGATTATCTCTCCACTCCTATAATATTTCTGTCATTATTATTTTACCTTTAACCTCCCACTGGGTCCTGTGTCTTTCAGAACTGTCATATAATGTTGTGGCTCCACCAATGTTTCAAACACAACTTTCTCAGTTCCACCATTCAGCAGTGCTTCAAATAATACCAGTGACCCCTGGAATTAAGTGAACAGAAATCACAGAAAAAAAATTGTTTTACTGATAGAACTCTTACAGAAATCAAATTTCCTAACAACTTCATCCTTCTTAGTCTTTACCATATTTCCATTTTCTGTTTGTTGAAACAATGAATTTTCACTTTAGTTCTTGCACAGGAGTCTGCACAGGTGACATCAGATTGATGGGTGAAAGCATTTGGATATAATGCAACACAACTGCAATTCAACCAGCCTCTACTGTAACAGTACACACAAGAGAGAGGATGATGGACAGCACTGTCAGTGGCAGCTTGGAGAACTACCACATGGCAGGTGGTCATATGTGGACTGCAACTTGGTTTTCAAAGCAACTTCATAAAAATGGTAAATTTTCTCTGAAACTTTAGCTAGTTGCATAGGAATTTCACATAATTGGATATAAAATAACTGAAGTTTACTATATATATCAGAAAAAGTGAGACACAATGGAGAGATCTTGGAAGGACTCACACAAAAGAACAACAAATATTCACTTACAGCCAATTTTTCAATGAAACCACATCTGTTCCATGTCTCTTAGTAATGCCTCTAACCTGAACTGGGGAGATGCCCAGTTCAAACCTTGTCTGGGGTACTGACTGTCCTAAGAATTTTCACGGCTTTCCTGAGTCTTTCCAGGCAAAAGCCAGGAAATTACCTTAAATTGGGCCATGATTGCTTCCCTCCATATTCTTTGCAAGTTGCTATTCACCATCATCCATTCATTACTAAACAGTCAAGCATCAATAAATGAACTACAAACAATTAAATTAATTAATTTGTCCCTTGGAAGATTTTGACAAATGATTCAAAACAAATGAGGGAATAAAATGTCCATCATCATACAGTTTCAGTTATGTTTGAAAAATTCATAAAGTAAAACTATCTCCTTGTAAACACCGGTATTGAGCAACTTTCATTACTAAAGACCCATCCACTTCTACAGCCTAATTCAATTCTAACTGCTAAATTAAATCATTTTGTAGGAAATGAGATTCTCACAGCAGCATTTATGAAGAGTTCTAATTTCTGGAATAAAATGCCACATAGTCCTTTGAAAGTCGGCTGATATTTTGGAGGAAAATGCTTCTTCCATCTTCAGGGTTGGAGAATAAGGAAAGCAAGAAGCCATCATGAAAACGGGTGGCAAACAGATGTAGGTGACATGTTCTTCTGAAATGTTGGTTGGCTTTCAATGGACTACACAGCATTATATCCCAGAAAAAAGACCTCTTTTTAAATAAGTTTTCTTAAAAACGTACTCTGTACGTAGCACATGAGCTTACAGCTAGTGTGAATCACCACACTCATGGACAAACATAGATAAGATGTCTCAGCTGACAGGTACAGTGCGTGGACCTGCCAGAAGACCACACTTTTCTCGGGCCATTATCTCCGTAACCGTTCAACTTTGGACATAGGTGTTTTGGGTTATAGGGTGTCCCAGGAGGAATGTGCCAAACTTCGGGAGGGTGTTCCTTATGTTAAAGTATGCCGATATAACCCAAAACACCTATGTCCAAAGTTGAACGGTTACGGAGATAATGGCC